ACATTTGTTGCACTTTTTCTTTATTAATTTATATAAAAAAAAATAAAAATTAACTTTAATTTTATCAAACATCTAATTAAAATGTTTCACATGCCCTTGCTGATGTAGATTCGCACACGTCATTGGTTTTACCACCATACAAATTCTTCCCCCATTTAATTTATCAAACATCTAATTAAATTTATTTACGTAATAATAATATTAAAATTAATATTTACTTTTACATTTTTTATTTAAATTAATGACAAAAAAATGTCTTAAAGATACATAATAAAAAAAACTCATTATAATTTAATACAATTTAAATTATAAAATAGAAAATTCAATGAAATTATAAATTATTAAGATGACTTTTGATGTAAAATATGTATTTATCTAATAAGTTTGGTCCTCAATAAAAGTATAATAATTAATTTTAACTTGGACCGTCAAATTTTTTTACTATCAATTAATTAGTAAAATTTTAAAAATTCCAATTAATACTTTAGAATTACCAATACTTTCGCCCTTAAATCTACTAAACTTTCAATTTCTCCAAAGGAAAAAAATTTCAAAATATTAAAAAAAAAATCCACTAAACCTTCTCCTGAGGCAGGGCCGCCCGGGTCAAGCCGGTCCGTTCGAACCGAGCAAACGTGTCTCCTGGTCACTATTTGTTCAAAGAATTGACCCCTCACACGCTTAAACTATCACACAACGACAAGTGTTCACGGTGGATCCCACCATAGCTTGTTTCTTCTCGAGTAAGTTAAAAAACCATTCTTTTCAGGGACCCACTCGCTTTAACAAAATTAAAACCCCACCATTAGTGCCTCCTGACTCAAAAGTTATTCCCCGCACACATACGGTTTATATACGTAGATGCAAATCAGACGGTATGAGACATACCGAAAATATGATTATGATCACACATAATTATATAAATTTATTTTTAATTAAAAAATATTAGTATAAAAATTAATTTTTTTAAGTTAAGTAATAACTATTAATTATTTTATTATTTATTAATTATTTTTTATAATTAAATTAAATAGAATTAGTATTTTAAAATACAATATTTAAAAATGTGTGACCACATTTTAATGGGCGGCTTTGACATTGTCCAAAATACCCCTGTAAATGCATGTTTCATGGCATCCCACGGGCCCCACAGCAACCCCCCAATTTGGCCTTAAATATGCGCCCCCTACGCTGCAATTCTTCCCTTTTCTCCTCCTTTCTTTCCTTGCTACCTATAAGCTAAAATTTCTCTTTATTCTCGTCGTAATGTCCACTATTCCGGCCATTTTCGCTGACGAGTCAATGCTCGGAGACCCACTTTCGGCTTTTGATACCGGCTCCCCGCCATGGGACTGCTCGGGACTATTTTCTGCCGTCCATTCACCCAAAGCCGTGGTGTCAAGCTCCGGTTCGGACGAGTCGATCCGTCTGAACCAAAACTCTGCAAACCTAGACTCTTGCTCCGACGAACCGAATCCAAAACGAGCGACCTCTGTCATCGACGAGCGCAAGCGGCGGCGCATGATATCGAACCGAGAGTCAGCCAGGCGGTCACGCATGCGTAAGCAAAAGCATTTAGAAAACCTACGGAACCAGGTGAACCGGCTTAAACTGGAGAATCGGGAACTGACAAACCGCCTGAGGCTTATCATGTTCCATTTTGACCGTGTACGGACAGAAAACGATCGGCTCCAGTCTGAGGACACTATGCTCCGGCAAAAATTGTCGGACATAAGCCAAATTTTTGTATTCAAGCAACTTCAGCAGCAGCTCTCTCCTGCATGGCCATGCAATAATTTCACCGACTTGTCCGAACAAACCCCACCAATAATCACTTAAATAAGCCATAAAAATAGCTGCAAAATTTCTCTAAAACAAGAGCAAATTAATAGTTGCTCCCCTCTCTCTATCTCTCTCTTTTTCTCTTTTTCTCTTTCTCTCTCTATATCTCTCTCCCCCTCCCCTCTGTATATTAAAAGCTGTTAAGAGATGGAAGAATATGGCGTTTTTGGTCATTTTAGATAAGGTGGTTTTAGAAAAATGGTGGGTTTTAGAAACCATGGATTATTGTTGTGTGGAAAAGTGGTCACATAGAGTACCGGCTGCTTAGAGTGTTTTTCTTTTCTTTTCTTTTTTTTTCCTCACTTTTTAATTAATGGCATGAAGTTTAATAAAAGTAAACATTGAATTGTGAAATATGTTATAAATTTAAAATATTACTTAATATGAGAGATGACAAACATTAACATTTTACATATACAAACAATTTCTACCACTCGTATTGCAGTCCGTAAGTCTTTGATCAAATTATGCCTCCGTTGATATTTTGAAGCAGCCCCATTATATAATGTGGGGATATGAAAAGTCTTCAATGCCCTTCCTTAGTGAGAGAAATTGAAGCCCAATTGCTAATCATTGAATAGAGATGCCAAAGATTAACAGGGGAAGCAAAGTCTTAATTAAATATACTTTGCGCGTTTACATAAGATTCCACCTGCAATATTTCAAAATTTATAAAGGAAAACGGGCCCATGATGGCATGAGTCGATGATAAATTAATCGATAACAATTAGAAAGGGTATTTTGGTACATTTTTTTGGTTTTTTTTTTTTTTGAAATATTTATTGGGATCGTTGCATTTGTTGAATATCTTCATTTTCATAGTGAAGTTAATAATTTGTAGGCCCTAGCCTGCTTCTTTTTAATTATCAAAAGAAACTCGCTAGACTGTTTTGGATTAAGTACATAATAAGATGGGAGCTTTAGTGTTCAATAATTAAAGTGATCAATGACTTTGTTATAAAAATTTGAGATTAGGGGGCCACTAATTGTGATTAGGGACGCAATCCAATCTGTGAATAACAAAAGAGGATACTTTCATCACCGCCATTTTAATTAGTTGCCTTTAACTAAAAGTATGAATTTAAAATTTCTAAACCACCCTCTAATTGTTTAATTAATTCCCTAAACTTTTGTTTTCTTTTGTTTACTTGATGTGCAACTAGCACACACATGTTAAGGTGCAATTAGCACACACATGTTAAGGTGCAATGGATTAATGGATATTCCCACACTTATTACTTTAATAATCATGCTCTTAATAACTATTCACCATTATCTAGCTAGATATGCGTATGGATTCTAATTCCCAATAACTTTAAGTTGATATGGATTTTACTTTTGTATAAATTTGATATAAAATAATATTACATGAAATTAAAAAATAAAAATTTTAAAAAATTAGTAATGATATTATTGTCAACAATTTAAATGATTCAATAATAATTTTACTCTAATAAAAATAATTAGGAAGCGTGTTCGAGTTATACAGCATAAAAATGGAATGGGTAAAGCTGCATGTTAAAGGAATGAGAATATGCTTTTGTCTACCATTAATTTAAAATTATTAT